GTGTAAAGAAAAAACACACCCTGAATGAAATGCACATCAATGTCCAGCAAATTGCTTCCATGACCTCTACGTGGACACTGCCCTCGTATAGGACTCCTTGGCCACTTGACTTTACACATGAACACACCAATCTGTGTCCTACAAAGATCAATTCGAACAAGATGCAGATATAGTACAGCCTGTTTCACTTTGGGTTTATTGCATAAAATGAAAGGTGCTGATGGTGATCTGGCTGCAACATAAGTTAAGAGGCAGATCCTGAGTTAGGTGTCAAATGCTGTCAAATTTAAAGGTACAGTGAGAATCTGTTGTCAGAAATGAAATATAATATTCATAGGTATGTTTTTTAATAGTGTTTAATTGCCTGAATATAGGAATGATTGTATTTTAGTTACCTTAAAGTGGTACTCTGGTAATCTGCAATTTTACTGCTAGACACCACTAAATCCTACACACTGGACCTTTATAAAAAGTGTTAAAAATAATAATAATGGAAATTAACACATAAATTTAAAATCTGCTATGGCCACATTTTAGACTGATAGGCTTAAGTTAAATTAAAAAAAGACATTTGGAAATAATATCATTTATTGACTTCTAATGCCAACTTTAGATGTTTCTATTCAATGTTTTATCAATGTAATGCAATGATGTAATTAATCTTTTGGGGGCTTTCCAAAGCTAATACTGACATGTGATTATTAACAATTAAATCAGAATATATTTCTGCAACCCTTCAAAGTCTCCATGCCACATCTTGCAACCCCATGAATATTTCTCCACATCCGCCCCTGGTCCCTTCAGGCTGCTTTATAATGCCAAGGACCAAAGGGTTGCCAGTGCAAGAGGTCACTGATCCCAATATCATCTTTTAAAAATTGTTCATGCAATTTTATACATGCCCAATTCTTTACACATTCAAAGGGATGTGGCCTATTCCAGCATGTTCTGTGTAGAAGGCAGAGAGAAAGACCATGGAAATGCTTCAGGTCCAGGACTGACACATCTCTGTATATAGTAAGTTATGATAATGACACGTGAATGTCATCAATACAAAAACTGACAATACTGCTTCATATCTGAGTTATTTGCGGCTTATAGCAAAATAGAATAGAACAGAATAGAATAGGGTATTCTCTCTGTCTCTTTTCCTTCAGAAACACACACACACACACTACACACATACGCAGAGACACACACTTCCATCGCCTCTTGCCTGTTTCCATGGAGACAGTAGTGAGCTGTTTCTTTCCACTAGGATCAGACCGTCTGTCTTGATCACAATACATATGCACATACACATGCGTGCACACATACACTGCAAAGTGATGAATTTTTCAGTTTTACCAGATTAGTCTGTGCTGCAATGACTATGTGATCAGCCCTACTACCATACTGTAGGGCCTATCCCTAAATGTACAAGGTTATATTAATTATGAACCATTACTCTACAGGTGTTGTGTAGATGACTATAATAATCTATCCCTCTTATATATCTATAAGTCTCTAATTTGAAACTTTCTCTAATAATTTCTCTCAGATTGTGCAGCTTTCATTCATTTAATGTGGTGAAAGTGTACATTGTTACATAAGTGCATGTTAATTGATGTGCTTCTGAGCTCAGTGAGCACAAGGTGATAAGGTTTGTTGGGATAAAATGTGCTTTTTGCTCAAATGGATTGCATTCTCTAATAAATGTATGTTTTAATACCAAGGAAAATTTGACACAGTCAACAGTTACTGTATTTAGGGCATGTGATTACTTCAGCAGTGTGCGGTTATTAAATAAAAAGTACTGGAGGTAAAACATCTTGTGAGTGAACTGGCTGAGGTGAGGTAGCTGTCGGTGTGGTGCTCTCCCACTCTGGCCCTATGCAGCCTGTTTTGGTTTTAGAATTAGGATTATATTTGAACTGAAATTAAAACAAATGATCAGTGCGTCACTGTGCTGTGCTGCAGTCTACACCCATTCTGTGTTCTGTGGTAAAGGCTGCCCCACCCTAGCACACTTCCACCTCAACACTAACACCATACTAATTTGGTATCAGAATAAAAAGGTTCATCCAAGGTCCCATGATGATGAAAACCCCCTGAACACAAAATGTTTCTACAGTTTCAGCAGTTGAACGTTGTGATCTTAAATATTGTAATTAGAGGTCATCACAGGATCATGCAGTAAGAGTAAAGTCTAAGCATTTTCTCACTACTCTCTTAAGCAACTAACTTTCACTTCCTCCTCTACCATGACACCACTGCCACGTGCAGCCAGTGACTGCACTGAAATCAGCTGTTGTCTACCTGGTCCCAGCTTTCATTTGCATCCTGTGCATAAGCACCGAAAGCTCAGCCATACACCATTAAAATGTAGCAACAGCTCACAGGCATGTAGCCACCTCTCAAAGCTCCTCGAACACTCATCATTACAGATCAGCAGCAACCAGCAACATTTGTCCACCCCTTCCCCTTTTTCTAATTTACATGAGACTGCGTGCATGTTTGACTCTATCTAGAGAAATGTGGAACATGGAACATGTGTGCAACAACACACAGAGAAATGCAGTGCAGGCTGTCTTTAAAGAATGGAAAATTCCAATAAAACTGTAATGAACCGTTCCCATCTATTCATCACACCCACAGATGACAGCGGTGGCTCGGAAATAAAAGATGTGGGGGAGATCGACTTTATTTTTACTCTGGTAAGTTCCACCTGTTTTGTTCCTCATTTTTCTGTTGTAATTATTCTGATTTTTATTTGTTCTCTACTGAGATACTTTTTAATGATTATAATTATTTTTGATCTACTCTGTACAATTACTGTTCTGCTTTATATGTCCCCTTTACAATAACACAAAATATACATATACAATCAACACAATTACATGCCACTTGCCCAAATTGACCTTTAGTGACCTCTTTAATACAGAAGTCACTACAGTAACCTTAAATTACAAAGTACTCCCCCAATAAATTCTTTTTTATTTTGTAATATGTGCCTAACTATGATTTTATTAAATTTAAAGGGAATCTAAAGTTTTCATGTTAGTCTTGATGGCTTAGTTTCCACCATGAAACATGAATAAATAAAAAAGGACAGTGCTGAGTGAACCATGGTGTAAATAGTCTGTCATCTTGAAGATCTGAATTCAGTATTAGCCATACAATTGGCAAAACGATACAATTATTTGCACATTTATATTCCTCCACACTATAAATACAGCAAATACCAGTACATGCAGACAGTATTTTTGTAGTATTTTAAAATGTCCTGCATAAAACTTAAATTATGTAACAAGAGTCAGAAAGGTTTTACACTTTTCTTAAACTAAGTTTCTTGTCAAGGAACAACAGGGGAGGAAAGAACAATCCCAACTCTCCATCCTGGATTTCCTGATAAAAGCACATTCACACTCGCATCCATCTCTTCAAATATTCACTCCCTCATTAATTTCAACAGAATCCTGACTGACTGACAAAGTCAAGAATGTGTTTGCTGTTTAATGTCAGCCCAGGCTGGCTCCAGCTGCCGGGCAGGTCAAAGTTCACCTTTGTTCAACTGTAACCTGAGACAAAGTGTTTTGATGCGTGTTGTGTTTGAAAATGGAGACGCCAATCTTGCTGTGTGCCATCACCCACTCTTGTGCTAAACTTGCAGACTGCATCATTGCTCTAAGTTTACCCTGGATATAGAAGGAAAGTGTGACCATAGTGAGGGAAATAAACACCACATGCAAAATGTCACCAGCACATAAACGCATGACTGAGCAAAGCTTTGAACATCAAGATCTTCTTCCTGTCCTTCTTGAAGTGAAACAAACTTGTTTTTAGTCTGATGCTGCATGTCTTCTTGGTACTGTGCAGACTCTCGGAAGGAATCACTGTCCATCTACTCTCATAACTGTCTGTGAGTTTTTAGCAGCTGCTTGCGTATTCATCCTGTACACAAAAGAAAAGGAACAGACCAATCAAAACAGAGCTTTGTTGCATCATTTTAACATTAAAACCTTAAGATAATCCATCCATCCCAGACCCTGGACAGCTCACCTTTACATTTTCCAATTAACCTGACCTACATGGAAGGAAACTGAAGCACAAAGAATACAGATAATACAAATAACCAAAGTACGGGATGTCTTAGGCTACATGATCACTTAGAAACTAAAATATTTGGTTTAGCAACCTTTTTATGAGATGATTTTTGTCTGTAATAAAGATACTTAACTTTTGATTAAACATCCAGTGTGTAGTTGCAGATTTCAACCAACTGAATACCACTAAGGAGCTACTGTGGCCACGAAAACACTACAATGCTTATTTTCAGGTGATTATACACAAATGGAAACATACCTGTGTATATGATATTCCATTTCTGCCAGTAGAGCCCTCTAAATGTTACACACTGGACTTTTTGGGGGAAGAATGTTTCATTGTTAAAACAAGATTCATCAGAATAACTTCATTATCTTCCAAAAGAGAGCTGTTGATCTTCTTTGCTGTATTGAAATGTATGGAAAGGAAACTTGTTTCAATTGGCAAGGCATCCCACACTTCCTCCAAGAACTCTTTAGTTTTTATTTCATTGTATTCATGTCTGTGTGTGCTCAGTGTTTCAAGATTCAAGAACTTTATTTGCCATTTATGCTTGCACACATAGGAACTCATGATCAATACCGAACTTCAAGACATGTTTGCCTTACTGTCATATCCATCTACCTCATGTACATAAAGAAACCCGCACATACAATATTTATTTCAGCATCCTTTGCCCTCTGCACCATCACACTATTATCTACAAATGTTACTGCTTTTTGTTTGTTTATATATGTACATAGTAGTTTATGCCTGTTTTTGTTGAGCTAGTTGTTCTGTTTAAATATGCTTTTAGTCTGTGTTTGTACATTTAGTTAAATTCCTTGTATGTGTGCAAATACCTGGTCAACAAAAGTGAGTCTGACTCTAAAGCTAATTGTAAATAAAGTTTATTTTTAAGGGGGGGGGGGCTTCAGGCGCATAGAGAAGGAACACGAGGAAGGAAAGCAGTAAATAAAAAATATGAATGATTGAATTTGATTAATTAAAAAAGTGTTTTACAACCAACAGAGGACAGAGGGCGATATTACACTGGTCTTCAATCATCTTAAACCCGGAACAAGGAGAAGAAGATGAAACAAAAACAAAAATGGCTTTCTCTTGGTCAGTCCCCAGTTACGAGCTCTCCTGTTCGGTCTGCCAGGACACATACAAAGACCCGGTTCTCCTTGCGTGTGGCCACAGTTTCTGTAAGGTCTGTGTGCTACAATGGTGGAGAACCAAACACATGCGCGAATGTCCCGTTTGTAAGACGGTGTCTTCGACCAACAGACCTCCTCGCAACCTCGTGTTGAAGAACCTATGCGAGGCTTTCCTTCTGGAGGTGGAGGCCGGGGTCGTCTGCCGCCTGCACGCCGAGAAACTGAAGCTCTACTGCCTGGACCACCGGAGCCCGGTTTGTGTCGTCTGTCGGGATTCAAATGAGCACAGGAACCACAGCTTTACGCCCGTGGACGAAGCTGCAAAGGGGAGCAGAGACGACCTGTTGGAAAACCTGAAGCCCTTGCGAGACAAAGTGAAACTCTTCAACGAAATGAAAGTCAGCTGGGAGAAGACGGATGAAGAGATTCAGAACCAAGCGCAGGACACGGAGGAGAAGATACGGAGCGAGTTCGACGTGCTTAAGGTGTTTTTACAAACCGAGGAAAAGGCCAAGATTGCAGCACTGAAGCAGGAAAGTGAACTCAAAAGAGCCATGGTGAAAAACAAGATTGCAGCGTTGAGCAGAGAGATAACCGCCATGGAAAGTACCATCAAATCCATAGAAGGAGGGCTGAAAGAGGATGACCCCACCTTCCTGTTCAAAGTGGATGCTTTAAAGAAAGAAGCTCAGCGCCCCCTGATGGAGGACCCAAAGCAGATGACAGGGGCCCTCATCGATGTTGGCAAATATCTGGGAAATATTAGGTTCACCGTCTGGTACAAAATGAAGTATCTAGTGTCCTACACCCCCGTAATCCTGAACCCCAACAGTGCCCACCGAGAGCTGCAGCTGTCCGATGGTTTGACCAGTGTGAAATGTGCACCGAGGCAGCCTCTTAATGTTCTGCTCCACACCCAGCCAGAGAGGATGGACCAGCACCGCAGCGTCCTGGGCTGCCAGGGCTTCAGCTCGGGGAGGCACAGCTGGGATGTGAGGGTTGGAGACAATCAAGTGTGGGCGCTGGGTGTGGTGGCGCAGGAAGCCCAGAGGAAGAGGGATTTACTGTCCGGGTTGTGGATGTTGAGGTTCTCTCACGGTAAATTCACAGCCTTTTCCCCGTCTCGTCCGGTGACTGTCCTCCCACTGAAGGACGGGCTCCAGAAGGTCAGAGTGCACCTGGACTGGGACAAAGGAAAGCTGTCCTTCTTGAACCCAGACACTGCCGAGGTCGTACATACCTTCACACACACATTCACCGACAGGCTGTTTCCATACATCAACACCTGGAAGGACCATCCAGTGAAGATATTGCCACTGAATATCTCTGTAGTAGTAACGTAACTGGAGGAGAATTCAGAATTGCCTTCTATCTGTTTTAAAAAAAAAAAGAGAGAATATTGCCCCTGTTTTTTTGTAAAGTTCGATAACTTGCCTTCGTTGTAGCATTAGAAAGTAAAGTGAGGCTGTGAATGCTGCAAACGCGAACCCTGAACACACCAGAATGAATGTATGGTCCTACATGGTCGCAGTATTTGTATGTTTAGGGATGTGTGCAATGTAAAAAATACACTAAAAACATACCAAAAGGCAGTTTTAGTGAAGAATGTCCTGTTAAACTATGTTTATGCTGTCAAAGCCAGAGTTGTCCTAACAATCTGTGATCATGTGTCACTGTCAATATGTAGACAGACCAAGCCAAAGCTGTTCTTGAACTTGAGCCTAGTTGCCCACTTTGTCACTTTTTGTATTTTTCTTTATTTGTATCTCTTTCTTAAGGTACCGTGTGGGCGGTTTTCCCTTTACAACAGTGTTCTACAGATGAAGTTTTCATTGAAAGTATCTTTTATTGCATTTCTCTGCTGCACTGGAGTGCCTTTATTTTTTTTATGACTTCTATAATTTGTATGCATAACTTTAAACTGATCTATTTATATATCTCAAAAATGAGAGAAAGATGTTTATAAAGAAAGCCCTGTCTTCTGAGAAGGAGTGATACATATGTATCAGATTGTGTGAAGAACTATTTAACAGGTGCATTATTATTGTTCCTTAACAAGTCAAAGCACATTTATTGTTCCTTATGATTAATAAACATTCTAATTAATAAATGTATTACATGACTAATTTCTTTCATTCAACATGAAATATTTATTCACTGTTAATATGTTAAAATCATGGCTTTCACGTGATCAATTATTATTTCTTTCTACTAATTATTTCTGCTCCTGCCAAACAAAAGGAAGAACATTTATACTTCAATAAACATGTTCTGCTCAACATCTCAACATTGCTGCCTTTTATTTTATATTTTTTTATTCTATGTTCCTTAAATCTCTTTAAATACACTATTTCTTGTACAAAGCACTCAAATACAATTAAATGAGGTCATACAACAAACCCCAGCTAGTGTCGTAAAGCTGTGGCGCAACACCTCCACGACAGCTAAATCCCTTTACGGAGTTTCCTTCGACGTAACCGCAGCGTACAGGGACACACTGCGGCCGTCCTTGTGAAGATGTGGAGAACATGTGAGTGTTAAACACATGTTGGTTTGATATGAAGACAGTACATGCAGTTGTTTTGTAGCTTTTGGTTGTTTTGCATTCAGCGAGGGAGCGTGAAGTGGGAGTATTTCCCCGCTCGCTCCGTTAGCTTTAGGTCACCGTGCGACCTGTATTAAAATGCTGTGTGAGCTCAGTGCGTCCTTTTGCAGCCACACGGTCGCTTAATGCTGCTTTCTGAGGCTTTTTATTGTCTGTAAAGTGAGTAGACATAGTAATTGGCATGAATAACGCAGGGTAAGTTTAGTGCTGAGATATGTTTTTGACTAATATGTCCACTTCACTGAGCCTGTTGGGTTACATAAGAAAGTTGAGGCTGATCAGATGAGTTTTTAAGACTTACCATGATGTGTTATTGAACCAAGGTGAGGCTGAACCCCCTCATATCAAGTTATGGTCAGTTATGTAGATCCATCTCCAGCATTACCTCATTATAACCCTCATTTGTTGCTCTTTTATAGTAAGACATATAGTGTATATTAATTACTATATGAGCTTTATCTGTGCACTTAATGTCCAGGGGCTGTTGTGTGCACATGAAGGTAACTGCATATGGTCTGTGAAGAAGGGGATGTTAAAGAGGAGCAGTAGTTAAAGAGGATATTCCTTCAGCAGGACAACACAGGTTCAAATCCCTGCCTAAAGCGCTTAAACTCTACACTTGTATTCACTTTCTGCCTGTCTGCCTTCTTCTCAGATGCCACCTACTGAAGTCCGCAGCGCCTCACTGACACACAGTCCACTAAAAGCAAAGAAATGGCGTCCAGCTTCCTCAAGTACTCGATGCTTCTTCAGAAGTACCGGACTCCGCTGCTTATTGCGAGCTGCGGCGGGGTCTTTGCAGCCAACATGTTCTACCATGTTTTCCCTGACGTGTCCTACCGTCAGCTCTATCAGGCCTGGCACCAAGGAGAGCCAGTCACGCTGTCCGAGAAGCTAGAGGATGTTTTCCAGCAGGTAGTGTGTGTGTGTCTGTGT